AGTTTTGTGGGGGAAGCGAAAAGGCCTTTTTTTTTTTTTTTTTTTGTTTTTTTTGTTTTTTGTTTTTTTTTTTGCGGGCAAATCACCGTTAGTCATGTTATGATGACAAGTTACTCCGATCCAAGCAAATGGCCGCCACAATAACTTTTGGCACATTTACGACATTAGCGCCACCTGCCTTTCATATTATATCGTAAACTATCAAATGAATGACATCGTATTTAACAAATTTGACCATGAATTTGACGTAACGCCAAGCTTTCAGCAACGGGATAATTTTTTTTTTTGCGGGCAAATCACCGTTAGTCATGTTATGATGACAAGTTACTCCGATCCAAGCAAATGGCCGCCACAATAACTTTTGGCACATTTACGACATTAGCGCCACCTGCCTTTCATATTATATCGTAAACTATCAAATGAATGACATCGTATTTAACAAATTTGACCATGAATTTGACGTAACGCCAAGATTTCAGCAACGGGATAATATTAGACATAAGACATTTAAACAGAAAGTCCTCCTGTGGTGTCAGGATAATATAAATTCAAGTCTGGGGGAGAAAATGCAATTAGATTATTTTTCAAAAGTGTTCACCCCTGGTTGGTACTTTATTGAAAATGCTCAAAAGTCCCATCAGGAGCGTTTCTGAGTTAAGAGTGCCAGATTTTTGAGTGATGTGGTTAATAATTCAACCTGAACCATTAGCAGCACACAGTGAAACACACACAAGTCTGTCAGTTAGGGCCCAAGTAGCGGCGAGGGAAAAAAAAAGGACGTGCAGCAGCAGCAGCAGCCTTTGCGGGGCTGTCGTTTACATAGGAGACAGCGGGGCGGGGCTTGACTGATGGCTTCAAGTTGCTAAGAAGAGTGAGGAGCAACTCGGGGATGGAGCCGTTTCGGTAAAAAGACTTCAGGAAGGAGGAGAGGAAAAAGCAATGAACAGAGGATGACAATATTTTTTTTTCGACAGGCGGCGATGACGTCTAGGAAGAGCGAGCTCGGCCAAAAGCGGGCCCATGAATACGCACCCAGCTCGTGCTACCTCCTTGACCCTTTGCAAAGAGGAGCGAGGAACCCTGTAACACCGTCCACGAGGATGCCCAGTTCTTCCTGTGTGTCCAAAATCATGACAAAAAATTTTTATGGAAACGATCACAGCAAAAGTGCTTGAGGCCAGCACTTCATAGCTCCCTACCTGACTTTTTTCCCATTCTCCGTGATTTTGGTGACATTTAGGACCCCGCACTTCTCTGACGGCTAAAGAGGACAAGATAAGCAAATCAGAATCAGAAGAGTGACGCCTGAAATGAACGCGGCGTTGGTTGCGATGCCTTGATACGTCATAGTATCATGTTCCCTATTCACATGGCTCGAATAGCCGGGTTTTGGCTGGTCATCCAGTGGAACCTAAAATCCTGAGATGGATAATCGATAATACAGAGCTGTTGTCTCACGAGATTTGCTGAGGTCCATGCGACACCAGACACGACTGCCATTCAAACTCGGAGTACTGTAATCGTGCAATGGCAGAGGAACCTACAAAAAGCTGAAGATGTCCGGCTCGTGGGTGAAACTTCAAATGTACCCAAAAATGCACAATGAAACCCCAACAGTTGAACGGGTGCAAGATTTAAAGAAGGTCAAATGAAGTCCAAAGATCATAGTCCATTTTAGTTGCACCCTGAAAATTTCACCCGCCAGCTCAGGACGTTGAGTGCCAATTTCACGCTTAAAAACTTCAAAGCAATTCAAAATGAAAGGTTCCACTGGAGATATCGTAAGAAAAACATGACATTGTAATTGCAGTTAGCTACACAAGGTGACATGCAGAAGATGATAGTGAATGTGAGAAAAAAAAAAAAAAGGCTGTGATACAGCGAGAGAGAATGAAAAGAAAGACGTTCATGATTGGATGCAAGTGAGATGGTGGAGGTGGTGAGTGCAATGCAATGCAAGCTGGGATACTAACAGTTGAGGGGTGCTTAGGAGATGATGGGCAGGAGTCAGAGTCGGGAGAGCTCTGCTTGGGCGCCGGAGCACACTCCTAACAACAAGAGGCACGGCGTGAAGATTTTTCTAAGGACTATCAGGCAACTAGAGGAGTCAGTTCAGTCAGTGGGTTAGTGGGACGAAGGAAATGGATCAGAAACCTGGAGTCGAATCAGAACACATTGGGTTGCAGTTACATAATAAAGAGGAAGAGCAAATTTGGACTTGGATGCACACAGAAGATTGTGTGCTGACACTTTGCATTCTTTTCAAGATATTTTACTCACTTGACTCCACCTCATAGGAAGCCGCGGAGCCCCTACCTTGTCGTTGAGATCAAGGACATAAGTGCTGTGCCTCCACTTGGTGAGGATGATGGGGTCCGGCTGCTTCCTCTCCAGGCTGCGACTCTTGGGGACCTCACCAGACTGAGGGGAGATGTTATACTGTGTGGAGAGAGGATCAGACCATAGAGAGTTGCAACTCCACCGAGCGGCCCGTCAGCATCTCCACCTTTGCCCCACTTCCCCTGCTTTTGCTGTCCACAGCAGCATTGGAGAGAGGGGTCGCGCAGTCTTCCACCATCACTTGCGAGGACCTCTAAATGTGCCCGCGTCTGAGTAATAGAAGCGGGCACCGCAAGAATTCGACGGCCCGTTCTGATCTACTCTTAAAGCCTCTTGATTAGTCCTAGCAGGAGCCATAAATCGGCCTGCGGGAGGCGTTCAATTACAAAAGTGGGTCCTGTGAGCCAGCCAGACGATCAGCCACTTACATCAGCAGGACTCAGGCGGCACGCCAAAAGGGACGAGCTCGATTGAAGGTGATGTCATTTGAGAAGACTTTCAGGAGTGCGGTGTGATGAGTGTAGAAAAAAAATAAATAAACAAACAAAAAAAAAACATTTGGAAAATGAACATTAATGAAGTAATACTACCTTGGGTAATTCCCATTCAGACCTGGATCCGTCAGTATTGTAGTAGTAGGGTCGGCCTTGCTCATCAACATGTTTGATCCACTGCAAAGAGAATCTGCATTTAGTGAAAGCTTAAAAAAAGAAAAAAAAAACGGACAGACAGCACAGGAGAGCAGCTCAGAGAAATGGTATGAAATCAAGAGAATAGACATTTGCAAATAAATGAATGATATTTCATGGATAAAACATTGGAATTTTTATTTTATTTTTTTTGCCCTTGATATTGTTCAGGCCAGCGGAGAAGGAAGGCCCTTGCTGGCACCGATCGCCCAACGACTTTAAAATGACACCGCACCTTCTCTTGTGTGTATTCGGAGACGTAAAGGGTGTGTCCATGCTCATCCAGTTCCTCAGACCAGCCTCTAGGGGGCGACCCATACTGGCTGTCAGACTGGCTGGAATGGGTGCTGTGACAGTTTTCTTCAGACGAAAGCAGCTATTCAAAAAAAATAAAAATAATCATCATCATAATCGTTATAACAGTGCACAGCTAATTAACAGAAAACGATATCATTTTATATCTGCTGTATTGCTGTAAAAAGTGTGACATAACGGCTTGTTTGAAACTCCAGCCCAGTTTTGTACCAAAACCATCTAGTCGGTATGATCCAAACCCGATGATGAATAGAGACTTTCAAGAATAGGAAGCAAATCATTATAATTTCGTTCCTGGATAGTTATCCAAACAATCAGATCATTAAGATTGTCAACCAGAGACAGTGGGACTGATTGATGGAGCCCAGCTTGCATTTTAATCTCTTCAACCCCATTCAATAATGCAATGTAGCAAAATACCACATGGTGGTGCTGTCCGACTGTCAAGAATTCAAAACTGAACACTGTCAGCTTCGTTTCTGCTTATAATAACCAAAAATTACATTTTAAGTGTTGTTTTACTTTTTAGGCCTGCCAACCCTGTGCATCACTCAGTAGTGTTTTTACAACTGGACTTGACTGAATTCCTATAATTCCTCTCAAATTTGCCAAGGGGAAGTTCTCTGAATATGAATGTGCCACAGAACCATATAATGCAGCGTAGAACATCACGCCTCAGAAGAAAGCCAACCTGAGGTTTTTGTCTTTGTCCTGGCTTACCTCGCTCTCTGCTGTGCCTTGGTGGCCTTCTCCTCGGAAGCTGCCGGTGCTGCCGCTGGCGTCCCGGGGGCGCGGCGGGTTCCACGTGCGCTCCCCCGCACCGGGGCGGGGGCCTTTTTTTTTTTTTTTCGATGCAGTAAGGCTGGTGACACACATCCGCCAGTCTGACTAAGTCGACTTACGTATGTGTTAATGGTCTCGGTCAGGGCCCGGTACCAGTCATTGATGACGCTATCAATCTCAGACTGGATCAGCAGTTCTGTCCCCTGACGCGTCTTCAGCTAAGGAATCCAAAGGTTGGACGTCAGAGGAGCAATATTCCCGAAACGTTCGGAGATATTTGGCTTTTGGGTGAAACTTTAGCATAAAATGCACAATAACTTTGACCTGTTGTCAATTTTGTCATTCTGCTCCAACACGTTGTGAAGACATTAATGAAACATGGAATAGTTGAATAGCTGGAAGGTCACATTAAATTTACCGGTTCAAGTTTATCGTGCATTTTAAGTTTTAAATTTCACCTGAAAGTGCCATCTGACTAACTTTTTGGGAGTCGTGTACAGTATATATTTTGGGCCAGACTGTCTCTATGTTCGATACCTCAATGACATGCTTCTTGCTGGACTTGTCCTTGGAAGCCCATTCCACGGATCCCCCGCGCAAGTCAACGGTAAACTCGGGCTTCGATTGGTTGCTGCCAAACTTCTGAAATGCAGTGACGCAGCATAAGCGAGAATGTCGCAGAGAGGGAACCGTGAGGTTAAACTGGTCTAAGATCAAGACAAGCAGTTAAATGGCAAATAGTATCTAAATACAAAACGGTTAAGCTGCTGTATTAAAGTGGTGTTAATTCCTTGGATTGTTTTTTTTTTTGTTTTTTTTGTTTTTTGTTTTTTTTTTTGCGGGCAAATCACCGTTAGTCATGTTATGATGACAAGTTACTCCGATCCAAGCAAATGGCCGCCACAATAACTTTTGGCACATTTACGACATTAGCGCCACCTGCCTTTCATATTATATCGTAAACTATCAAATGAATGACATCGTATTTAACAAATTTGACCATGAATTTGACGTAACGCCAAGATTTCAGCAACGGGATAATATTAGACATAAGACATTTAAACAGAAAGTCCTCCTGTGGTGTCAGGATAATATAAATTCAAGTCTGGGGGAGAAAATGCAATTAGATTATTTTTCAAAAGTGTTCACCCCTGGTTGGTACTTTATTGAAAATGCTCAAAAGTCCCATCAGGAGCGTTTCTGAGTTAAGAGTGCCAGATTTTTGAGTGATGTGGTTAATAATTCAACCTGAACCATTAGCAGCACACAGTGAAACACACACAAGTCTGTCAGTTAGGGCCCAAGTAGCGGCGAGGGAAAAAAAAAGGACGTGCAGCAGCAGCAGCAGCCTTTGCGGGGCTGTCGTTTACATAGGAGACAGCGGGGCGGGGCTTGACTGATGGCTTCAAGTTGCTAAGAAGAGTGAGGAGCAACTCGGGGATGGAGCCGTTTCGGTAAAAAGACTTCAGGAAGGAGGAGAGGAAAAAGCAATGAACAGAGGATGACAATATTTTTTTTTCGACAGGCGGCGATGACGTCTAGGAAGAGCGAGCTCGGCCAAAAGCGGGCCCATGAATACGCACCCAGCTCGTGCTACCTCCTTGACCCTTTGCAAAGAGGAGCGAGGAACCCTGTAACACCGTCCACGAGGATGCCCAGTTCTTCCTGTGTGTCCAAAATCATGACAAAAAATTTTTATGGAAACGATCACAGCAAAAGTGCTTGAGGCCAGCACTTCATAGCTCCCTACCTGACTTTTTTCCCATTCTCCGTGATTTTGGTGACATTTAGGACCCCGCACTTCTCTGACGGCTAAAGAGGACAAGATAAGCAAATCAGAATCAGAAGAGTGACGCCTGAAATGAACGCGGCGTTGGTTGCGATGCCTTGATACGTCATAGTATCATGTTCCCTATTCACATGGCTCGAATAGCCGGGTTTTGGCTGGTCATCCAGTGGAACCTAAAATCCTGAGATGGATAATCGATAATACAGAGCTGTTGTCTCACGAGATTTGCTGAGGTCCATGCGACACCAGACACGACTGCCATTCAAACTCGGAGTACTGTAATCGTGCAATGGCAGAGGAACCTACAAAAAGCTGAAGATGTCCGGCTCGTGGGTGAAACTTCAAATGTACCCAAAAATGCACAATGAAACCCCAACAGTTGAACGGGTGCAAGATTTAAAGAAGGTCAAATGAAGTCCAAAGATCATAGTCCATTTTAGTTGCACCCTGAAAATTTCACCTGCCAGCTCAGGACGTTGAGTGCCAATTTCACGCTTAAAAACTTCAAAGCAATTCAAAATGAAAGGTTCCACTGGAGATATCGTAAGAAAAACATGACATTGTAATTGCAGTTAGCTACACAAGGTGACATGCAGAAGATGATAGTGAATGTGAGAAAAAAAAAAAAAAGGCTGTGATACAGCGAGAGAGAATGAAAAGAAAGACGTTCATGATTGGATGCAAGTGAGATGGTGGAGGTGGTGAGTGCAATGCAATGCAAGCTGGGATACTAACAGTTGAGGGGTGCTTAGGAGATGATGGGCAGGAGTCAGAGTCGGGAGAGCTCTGCTTGGGCGCCGGAGCACACTCCTAACAACAACTTGGACTGCTTCTATCCCATCTGATTTAAATGAGGGTAACCTCGTCATTACTCCAATGACCACCATTGACAATTGACATTTTTTTTTGTATTTGTTTAATCATTTTATGAAACTATGTTTTGTTGAAATTAAATGAATTTAGGATATGATACTTGGACACAGGCATGGGTATTTCTGTTTGAGTAAATGTGTAATGTAAATCAGGTCCATGTGGTTACCCAAAAGACTTCGGGAATTAGATCGGCTGACAAGACCTCTGCATATTGAGTAATCATGGTGAGTCAACTACTCTATCATCGTTTGTGTCAGGCTGGCCGAGGTATTTGTTAGCCATTTGCGAAAACTGTACTTGTGTGCCCGGCGATTCTTGTGGCTCTCCCCAGCTCCAGTGCCAGATCCATCGAGAGCTGGATAACGGCCGAAAGCAGCCACAGGAGCTAACACTTGGGACTTCTCTGGCAGAGAAAGAGCCTGAGTCGGTGTGCACAGGCGAAAAGTTCCGACTTGACATAATCGGTCACGCATTGACACACAGCTTGGGATTCGGTACCACTCTTCTTGAAAATGGTTGGACTCTCTTTGATTCTTGAGTTGCTCACATTGAGCAGTACAGCGAAGGTGTGGTCATACTTGTTGCCCCCTTGCTCAGTGTCTGCATGTTGGGGTTCACTCCAGGAGATGAGAAGGTAGCCTATCTCCACCTTTAGGTGGGGCAATAGGTTCGAATTATTCTTTGTGCCTATTTAACAAACAGTAGATCAGCGTACCCATGAAGGCCGTGCACAAATCGGACATTCAGAGATTGTAATGTATAGTATGTTTGCTTAGAGTGCGCATGCATCGTCTGGAGTGTTGTTATATATATTTTGACGCGCATTACCATTTCCACGCAACATCTTTGAGCCAAAATATGTTTGTTTTTTTTTTTTTTGTTTTGTTTTTTGCCCTTGATATTGTTCAGGCCAGCGGAGAAGGAAGGCCCTTGCTGGCACCGATCGCCCAACGACTTTAAAATGACACCGCACCTTCTCTTGTGTGTATTCGGAGACGTAAAGGGTGTGTCCATGCTCATCCAGTTCCTCAGACCAGCCTCTAGGGGGCGACCCATACTGGCTGTCAGACTGGCTGGAATGGGTGCTGTGACAGTTTTCTTCAGACGAAAGCAGCTATTCAAAAAAATAAAAATAAAAATAATCATAATCATAATAGTACAGTTTTCTTCAGACGAAAGCAGCTATTCAAAAAAAATAAAAATAATCATCATCATAATCGTTATAACAGTGCACAGCTAATTAACAGAAAACGATATCATTTTATATCTGCTGTATTGCTGTAAAAAGTGTGACATAACGGCTTGTTTGAAACTCCAGCCCAGTTTTGTACCAAAACCATCTAGTCGGTATGATCCAAACCCGATGATGAATAGAGACTTTCAAGAATAGGAAGCAAATCATTATAATTTCGTTCCTGGATAGTTATCCAAACAATCAGATCATTAAGATTGTCAACCAGAGACAGTGGGACTGATTGATGGAGCCCAGCTTGCATTTTAATCTCTTCAACCCCATTCAATAATGCAATGTAGCAAAATACCACATGGTGGTGCTGTCCGACTGTCAAGAATTCAAAACTGAACACTGTCAGCTTCGTTTCTGCTTATAATAACCAAAAATTACATTTTAAGTGTTGTTTTACTTTTTAGGCCTGCCAACCCTGTGCATCACTCAGTAGTGTTTTTACAACTGGACTTGACTGAATTCCTATAATTCCTCTCAAATTTGCCAAGGGGAAGTTCTCTGAATATGAATGTGCCACAGAACCATATAATGCAGCGTAGAACATCACGCCTCAGAAGAAAGCCAACCTGAGGTTTTTGTCTTTGTCCTGGCTTACCTCGCTCTCTGCTGTGCCTTGGTGGCCTTCTCCTCGGAAGCTGCCGGTGCTGCCGCTGGCGTCCCGGGTGCGCGGCGGTTTCCACGTGCGCTCCCCCGTAGCCCGGTTATAATAGAAATGCCTGCCACTCAGGTCTTTGTGGGTCTCCCAGTCACCGTGGATGTGGAGAGGTGAACCGGAGGGCACAGGCGGAAGGCTGGACTGAGAGATCTTAAGCTCCTGGAGGTTGGTGTAGACCGGCGAGTCTGACCTGCCTTGACCCGTTGGCGATGTGGTCTGCAGAAGGAATCAAAAACAAGCCAGGAGATGAGGGTATAAGATTAGAGCTATCGTACATATTAAAGGACAGTATTTCAAATGTTTGAATTATTCAATGCTCGAACACAATTTCAGCAAAAAAAAAAAAAAAAAAAATGCACATGACAAGTGATACACAATTTAATGGCATATTAATGCTTCAAACCCAAAGAACATTTTTTTTCGTCTCTCAGGATGAAAGCCCTGGCAACAGCCGAAGGTCACTTGACAAAAACGAGAAAGCATCTCGTCTCCATGGCTACAGCTCATCTCATCATGATCAAGGCTCTTCGGAACGCTTGTGAAAATTATCTTGGGGGGCTGGAGACGGACGGTTGCCAGCACTGGATATAGTCCAAATACCAAACGGGCAAAAAGCAAACAGTCAAAGAGTTCATTAAAAGAGAACACATCACTACTTCGGAAAAAGCTTTACCAAAACGCAGAGGTGCCCATGTTTCACTTTCGACTGGTTTGTGGCCTTCAGAGAAGAGACGGGAGAGGCCTTATTGTCCCCTTAAAAAAAATCAAGCCGCAAACTGGAACTAGATGTGATGTCACGAAGACCATGCGTGTCCTTTGCTGTGGTTCTTTATAGACGTAAACAAAAAAAGCCGTAAGCCTGACGCGTCATATGGTGAGACAAAACCCGGAATAAATGCTTAATTTGAAGTCAGCATCAAATACTTTCCTGCTAATGTCTCTTCACACAGCATTTTAAGCCTCCCTGGAATTCAATTAAAAAAAAAATAAGCACGCTCATAGAATTCTTTTGCAGATCACCTTGTATCCAGTGATGCTCACAAATACGTCATCATCCTCCTCACCGGCCCTCCTGTAACCTTTGAATGCACGGCGCATAGTGATGCGGGCTGGCTGCCAAGCAGGACCGGAAGCACATTGACCCTTGCCCTTCACCTCTCTCAAACGCACACGAGCCAGACAGAAAATGAAGGGAGTGAAAAGCGCAAAGAGCAGTGGGCTTTATCTCTCAAGTGCACACTGCAGTGGCACAACAGGAAATGGTGTTGAAATATTAAGATCCTTTTTTTTTTTGCAAGATTAGGCAGCCCTCTTGGGGTGAAGAACCATATTTGGTAGCTTGGGTGGGTGCTTCAACATTTACTCTCCATGCATCGATAGGAGGTAGCACAACAGGATGATTTCAAATAATCAACAGCTTTGATTAATTCTCAGAAATGCAGCTGAGTCACTCTGGACTAGTTTGTGGCCAAAAAAGAACAACAGTTGTGGTAAATTGAGTCACTTCAATAGCAACTCTCCTGGGCCAGAGTCTGATGTTAAATGAGACACTGGCATTTATAGTGCGGTTCAGCACATCGCAGACAAATGATCCCATCAAATTGACAACAATGTCAACAAAAATAATGAGCCGACTGTCAAATTATTCATTCACAAACATGGCAAACGCTGTACCAGCTCTTCGTAGTACTCATCTTTGTTATTTTGGAGGCACTGGGACAGAGCCCTGCTACAAATAGCAAAGAATCGATTGGTGGATAATTGGCATGACCCTAACAGTTCAGAAATTGCCTATAGATGACAAAAGATGTCAGAAAAGTACTAAAGGAAGCTCCTCAAGTCATTCCAACAGTTCTTGGCACCAAGCTGCCACCAGATGGCCTTAGTATAGAAATAGCAAAAAAAAAAAAGAGTTTCAACAAATAAAGGACAAAAAGCAAATACCCAAACTGTATCTTTATTGGCACATTTGCATGTTTGTTTGAGGCAAATAGATGCTGCAAATGGGGCTGCAAGTAGCTGATGGACACCGCAGGTCTCTGACAGGTAAGTGAATGTGGAAAGGACACATGGGGGAAGGGAAGAGTAAATGAGGCATGGATGGAGTCAGGCTCAGGGCAGCGGTGAGCAGAGAAGCGTGCGTGTTATTGAATACAAAAGAGTCTTCATCGCGGCGTTAGCATGTCTGGAAAGTATCCGCTGACAATTGGCCAGCAAATGAAGCCACTGTGTGTACATGCTTCTGTGCTAATATGGTTTCTGCAGTTAGTGGCATGTTGGGACAAAGTAATAATGTTTTCCTTTTGCCTTTCCTCGGCAGCCTCATGTCCCACTGCGCTTGTATTGTCAACGCAAACGACTTATGCCTTACACGGTGTTGTAAATTAAACCATAAATAACGTGAAAGCAGGAGCGGGTCAAGGTAAGGGCAGTGGAGATGGTGTTTGCAGTACTAGCGCATGTCCGCTTGGTGACTCACACGAGCTGGGGTGAGAGGCCTTGCGAACTGGATGGTGGGGGTCTCCATCCAAAGACTGTGGCCCTGCTGAAGCGGTGTGAGGGGGGGAGGGGCTTCTATATATGCACACATGGCGAACCGCTCTGCTGCATCACCCTGCACTCTTTGGAACACGTGGTGCTTGTGCAGCATTTTGCCCAAACTCCATTCAGTCGGCTCGATGCAGCATTTTTTTCTGAGCGCTGCCATTGACGTTTTTGTTTTTTTTAGCAGAGGAGCATTTTCCGACGTTAGCTAGTGGACGCTTTGCCACACGCTAATTGATGAACAACTACAGTGAATGCAGGCGTGTCATGAAGCATCAAAAGGTAGCGGGGGTGGGAGTGGGGATGGGGGGGCAGGGGGGGATTGGCAGGTGCTCGCATCGCGGCTGAATCATTTATGCATGACGAATTGGACAAATGGGGACAGGGAGTGTGAGATTTTAGTGTGTCATTTCACATACTTTGTGGTGTTAGATGTAGTCACACAACAGAGACACACACACACACACACACACACACAAAGAGAGTACGCATTACGCATGAATGATGGCGATTTAAAATTCTGCCTTACTGCTCAGTATGATTGCCAGCTAGTGCGGAGAGACTGGTGAAATTACCACATACAGCCCCGCATCTCCCTGGAAACATTGTGAGACAAGTAGCTCGCTCCAAATATGCTGGTGCCAAATGAGTACAAATAGTTAATGCCTGTGAACGGTTTCCGATGGAACTGCGCTGAAAAGCACGCAGTCTATTGTGTTTTTATTTCAACATTACAGTCGGGGCACCATGACAACCCGCCATCCGCCAACTTAGAAGTAAAGTCGTTGAAATGTCACAGTACAGTATTCAATTAACTTGGTCGTTTGATATCGCCAAAGCCGATGAATGAAGTGAGCCTGCGTTCACATTTTGCAAGCCGTTTTACCAATGGTGAATGGGAAATTGTGATCGATCAAATTGTGAAAAAAAAGAGGTCATTCAGCTTCATGTTGGACCTTACAGCTTCTACGGTAAGCTTTCATGGAAATATCCCCGCAGTAGGACATGAAAATGTTATTCTGCGACGACCGGTGTCACAGCTCAGATCATGTGTTCATCTTTCCCCTAACTGTGTTGCATAATGCGATTGTGTAATTGAATTAGAGAAGACTGGTTCGAGGAAGAGTGGCGCTCCTGGCTTAAGAGGTGCATTGCTGAGGGAGGGCTTTGCGGCTATGGGGGCACCCAGTCAACAAAGTCACTTCCCTCTGAGTGTTAGAAGATAGGCTGTAAGTTTAGAGGGCATGCCCCCCCCCCCCTAACCATCAATCTATTTGGCTCCCTTTGTTCTTTTGTCCAAAGTCGTCCCTTGCCTTTTGCCACACAGCTCTTCCCCCGGTATCTTCTGGATATTCTCTCCGCAAACTAAATGTTCTGTTCCCCCCCCCCAAGTGCATCTTGAATCGAAGGTATAATTCAACACGATACCTTGTTGATCATTTTCGGCTTGGCCTCCGCTCAGACAACGCCCCACTGCCCCCTCTCTTCGCTCTCTCCCACTGCTCAAGGAGGTATGATGCTCCCGATGATGGTCGTGCCCATACGACAGGATTAACCTACATTTCCACCTCGATGAGCATCAGTCAGACCACATTCGCCCGCTCGCCCGTCACCGCATTTGTGGCATATTGCGAAGCCAAACTGCCTCTGAGCCAGAAGATTGTTGAAACGTTGGCATGCATATGAGCACAACAAAGCACGCTTGGGACACACACACAAACACACAGACTGTTGAAGTGGACCAGCCATCAATTGCAGTGTCAAATTGAGCTGCGCGAAACAGGTTGAACAGAAAGAAAATGCTAATTATATTCAAATATGGCCTTCACTCAATCTGCGTCTTCAAGCATATGGCGACCAGAGAGAGAGAGAGAGACGCGACTAAGGCCCATGAAGTCAAAGATGCGGAAAGTGAGTCAGCATCTTTTGGGTCAGACTCGGCAGGATGACGACAGCTAATTTAATTTCACAGATCGGAGCGTTTGACAAGGCTGGCAACTTGACTGTGACGTGCGCAATTAACCTTTTAGTCCTGAGCTGATAGCATTAAAATGTCAGTCAACACACAGTTGAGAAAGACGGCTGAGGCTGTTGCTCGGATACTACAGAAAAAAACAAACACCTTCTGTAGAGACAGAATGAAACAACGTATATTGATGTAAAAGCCTCAGAGCAATTGATCGTTTGAGTGACAGTATTTGATTGGATTTTCCTCCTGCGACGTAAGCAGGGACAGATTTTGAGGACAGGGGGAGCCTGCAGCCATGCTATATGTGCATATGGGCATGCTGTTGTTGGTCAGGGAGCACAACATTCTTGCAGTGAAGCTGGCGGTTCTGCAGCATGAGCAGGACGTACATCAAGCAAACAAATTCTATCTGGGACAAGATGTTCAACGGTTATTTCAGAAGCACCCAATGGATCAAAGATTTCCAGCTTCTATTTGGGGCTCAGCTCAAGTTAGAGCGTAAAATCAAACGCCACTGAGCCAGATTCTGACTGACACCCACTCTTGAGTCCCGTTCCTCTTTTTAAATCATGAAGTGACATCCCTGAAGCATTTACGAAAATCTGGGCAAATATCGGCGAGCAGCAAAAGAAGTGTTCTCGTTTCTGGTCCAAGGAGTCAAAACATCCAACAGAATCTATCCGAGTGATCTTTGCGTAGTCTG